GCCCATGACCGGTTCGGATATTCGCTGCGCCACCGCTCCCCACATGCACACCCTGGCACATAGCGAAGCAAACACACGGATACGTGCGTGTGTATCCTTGTGTGTGTATCTCTTTCTGAGTCTGCGTTTCTATGTGGTCCCCCCCCCCCCCTCTGTTACGTATATTTATTGAAACAGTCGGGAGAATCTGTGGGCTGCGATTGAATCCCGGATAGTCGCAATATCTCTCCACACACGCGGCTCGCAGGGATCGGGAAGCGGGGTGGGGGGGGGTCCTCCCCCTCCTCATCCCCCCCTCACCCCCACCCTCATCCCCCCCATCCTCACCCCCCCCATCCTCACCCCCCCCCATCCTCCAGGGTCTCTGCGTGTCCATGCATCACCGGGTACACAGATTCGTCAGTCTCTCCCTCCCCGCATCCCCCACTGCCTCCCCCTCCCTCTCCTACCCCCCCCCCCCTTCCATCATCGCTACCCGGCGACTGTCGATTAATGGCTGTAATCTATCATTAGGGTAATCGGTGAAGCTCAAACTGATTGCGCGTGCGATCCCGCGCTGGCAGTTGTGGATATAAACACAAATAACCACCAATCAACACATCCGTCAGTAACACCGTCGGCCTCAAGTGGGACAACAGTGTTGGTCCCTCTCTCTCTCTCTGCCATGAAGAAGGCTCGCCACCTGAAACGTCGCCTCACGGCTCGCAATCGGGAGGTTGCGAGTTTAATTCTTCGCTGGGGGTTGACTCCGCAGCCCATCGATGAAAGTGAGAACCGCTTTGTAGGGAAGACAGCAGTGGTGCTCCTGTAGATATACTCTCCCCCGCCATAGGAACGTGGAATTTCCACCACCGACTCAGGAGATGAGCACTGCCTCAGCAGGAAATTAATCGTCTCGTTGTTGAGCTGATCTTTTTCTCGTCTGCAAGTGCACGCGCGTATCACTATTTGGATTAATCGTCACGCCTGTGGTCACGATTCCAGGAAAGCCTCGCTGAATCTCGTGACTCGTATTCGGGAGGGTCCTGCCAAACGTTCGCAGGAGTGAGGGGGGGCGATGATTGCTGTGCATCATCCCGATTGGGTAAATTTGCGGTGTCATTTTTTTAATTGGGCAAATGTGAACCCATTTACGTCGCCACACAGCGGCCCTCTCCTGCGAATGACGCCACTGGATCTGTGTAATGTGCACTGTGAGCGAAGCAGACGGGTGCGTCTTGTGTCTACAATTAGTATGCACATCGCAGTATTCATCGCGGGCGGCCGCTGGAATCGAACCGCGACCCTCTGCAGCAAAACGGCGAATGGGCCACCGCTGGGCCGCGTTACCGTGGGCCCGATTCAGTGCCACCCAGAATCTAGAGCAGTGATTTGAGTCGAGTGACGCGAATGTATAAAATGTACAACTACCGTATAATCCACAGGGCTACGAATTCCAGTCTACACGTTGTAGTGGTGTGTGTGTGGGTGATAGTGTTGTGTTTAGGTGTGTGGATGATAATGTTGGAGCGGCCAACACCAGTGACGATTATCTGAACCGCTCCTGGGCCTCCCCTAGCTCGACTCAGCCTCAAATTAATACCTGTTGCGGTGTGTAAACATAGCCACTGGGGAGACAAAGGCGGCCGGGCGTGGTTGCTGGCCACCCACCTCCTCGTGTACCGTTCCCGCCTTCATAGGTGCTCGCTAACAGCACTTGCCCCTACAGTCTGTTCAGGCCCTTTGTCCTGTGTGTGTGCGTGCTGCCAGCACGCAATTTCCTCTGATGTCTCCTCTCTGCTTTGCATTCATTTCATCTGCGCCGCGAGTTCCTCGCCCCGGGCCCCCGCGCCCTCGCTGAGTCTAATTTACCAACTTCAAACATCCCCACGGGAAGCGCGCGGTCCCACAACCTTGCCCAAGGACCCACCACCATCCCTCGCGGGGCGCGCAGCGTGCCCACCACAACAGCCCTGCTCACAGCCAACATCTGCGGCGTAATAGTTGGACCGTTCCAGCGGCGGCCGATCCAGCACGGCGCATTCAATGAATTCTGCCAATTCGTAGAATCGCAGGGGAGCGGTGGGGAGATGGCGGAGGGTTATGGGATGCTGAATATCTTCTCGTCCAGTTGTTAATACCAATCCAGCAGCATTCGTTTAACACCCCTGACTGCTGATGATGATGAGACCCAGCAGGTGGAAACCGGATCAGAGTTATTTTTTTATTTTTTTAATACAAACGCAGTTTGATAAGACTGCTCTGGAAAGCCAGGATGCCAACGGAATAAAACATACGGAGTGCTTTTTTAAATCTAATGTTTAGGTATGCGTGTAGACACAACGGAGGTGTGCCGCTTATGATATCTGCTTTCCCCCGCTATTGATGTGGGAGGCGAGGTCGCTATCAATCGCCGGCAGAGGAAGAAGAAGACACGCGCCGTGGAGCATCACACACTCGTAATCTCATCTCATCGCCGCCGCCGCCGCCTCGCATTATCATGGAGGCGCCTGCTGCACATACAGATTACGCGAGACACTCTCTGCCGAACACAGGCGCGCTCAACAACGACGACTCCCGTTTGCCGCTAAGTGGCGGTGACGTCACCGCGGCGTTTGTGCCAGGCTAGGTGCACCTTTAGGCCACGTGAAGTGTCGAACGCTCCCTTGGAAGGTCACGCCATAGAGCCATGCGCTATGAGTTGACCGACTGAGATGACTGGCAGATGCACCACGTGCGTTCCACACTGCGCAAACTTGTTGCGTTTTAGCGGCCCAGCGCTCCGCGCTATGTTCTGAGCGTCGCTCATCTGCCCTCCGCTGTTGTTGGAGGACGACTTCCTCCAACTGCCCAGTAGCGTCCTTCACGAACCTCCTCCACAGAGGCCGATCTTGGCACCGCTGCTACCAGTCACCGGCAAGTCCACTCAGCCCCACATTCTCCTCCAGCCCGTGCCGCGTCCGTTTAGCCCCCTCTCTCCGGCCTAACAGAAGCTGCGCGCTCACACGCACACGTGTTTATCGCCTGCTCGCCCGTGCATGAAAGCACGTGCTCGTCATCATCGTCATCGTTATAATCGTCGTCATCGTCAATGTTGCGGATCATGATCGATTATGAGCGGTGGCGCGTTCGAGGCTTGTGTCGCAGAGGTTCCGCGGTTTGAGTCGAGCGGCCGCCCTGGTTATTACCTGGTTATTTGCAAGAGGAAGGCCATCGGGTGTCAGCGACATGGTCCCAATGTGCCAAATAAATCAAATACACCGAAAATGACTCAATTGCGATCATGCAAAGCATTAAAAGCCCCCCCCCCCCTCCCGATTGCAAAACTACTTGACAGGACCCTCACTGGAACAGAGTTTTGGGACTCACCGATGCTTTTCCTGGGTATTTAAAGCGTAATAATGATGACAATTAAGGATTCGTTAACGTTGAATTGTTACTAATGTCGTGGATAGTTACATAGTTTGGAGAAACGGTCATGCGTGATAGAAGCCAGCAGGTGGCGTGAGATTGAGCAGCGTCGGCGTGGCAAAAGAGCTCGGAGCATTCCTTTCTCCACGTGCCAGACGTTTCGAGAAACGGCCCTTCTTATGCTATGAAGGGCCGTTGCACAAAACGTTGCCATTATATATCGTGTGTCCTTTTAGGGCCAGAGTTTCATTGACGAATGTGTTTAGTATGTTTGTTATTTGTGCGTGTGCATCGCTGCCAATGCAGCAACAGCGTTTAGGCTAAAGCTATCACTGGTAACCGTTTTCAAAATCGATTCTTGAAACTGCTCGTGTTGATAGGAATTGTTGATAGGAAACTGCCGATGCTGAAAGGAACCGCTGATGCTCATGGCAACTGTTGATAGAAAATTATGACGTTGATGGGAAGAGTTGATGCCGATATGAATTGCTGATTCTGAAAGGAACTGCTCATATTCTTGGTTCTTTCGGTAAAGTCACGTAGAATTGAAATAATAAAATAATGCAAATAATGTTTTTATTTTATTTTATTATTTTCATTCTACGTGACTTCGGTAAAGTCACGTAGAATGGAAATAATAAAAGAAAAAGTAGTTTTATTATTTCATTATTTCCATGGAAATAAACAAATGAAACATCCTTTTATTTTATTTTATTATTTCCATTCTACGTGACTTTACCGAAAGAACCAAGAATATGAATCCCTGCAGTCACGAAAGCTTTAAATCGAAATTTGAACTGCTCATAGTAACTGCTGATGACTCTCGTAGCGATATCAACGCAACACCGCACGTGGCAGGCGTGACGTCACGCTCACGGAGCCGAGAATAGGCGGAGCCAGAGGAGAGTGGGCGGAGTATCGGGAAAGCGGGCGGGGGGTCGCCAGCGCAGAAGTAGGCTGGGCATCGACAAGTAGGCGGGGCATCAACAAGTAGGCGGGGCATCAACAAGTAGGCGGGGCATCAACAAGTAGGCGGGGCATCAACAAGTAGGCGGGGCATCGACAAGTAGGCGGGGCATCAACAAGTAGGCGGGGCATCAACAAGTAGGCGGGGCATCGACAAGTAGGCGGGGCATCAACAAGTAGGCGAGGCATCGACAAGTAGGTGGGGCATCAACAAGTAGGCGGGGCATCAACAAGTAGGCGGGGCATCAATAAGTAAGCGGGGCATCAACAAGTGGGCGGGGCATAAACAAGTGGGCGGGGCATAAACAAGTGGGCGGGGCATCAACAAGTAGACGGGGCATCAATAAGTAGGCGGGGCATCAACAAGTGGGCGGGGCATAAACAAGTGGGCGGGGCATCAATAAGTAGGCGGGGCATCAATAAGTAGGCGGGGTATCAACAAGTGGGCGGGGCATAAACAAGTGGGCGGGGCATCAACAAGTGGGCGGGGCATCGACAAGTAGGCAGGGCATCAACAAGTAGGCGGGGCATCAATAAGTAGGCGGGGCATAAACAAGTGGGCGGGGCATCAACAAGTAGGCGGGGCTAACGCTGCATTGGAAGCGATCGGAGTGGGCGGAGTCAAACAAAGTGGGCGGCGCCAAGGGAAGGTGGGGTGGGGGGAGGCCTCACGATCATGGCGGCCTCTGCCGCGGACGGGCGGGCGGTCGCCGCGACAGAGGCCAAGAAGCTGGTGCGGAGCCCCAGCGGCCTGCGCATGGTGCCCGAGAACAACGCGATGGGCAGCCCCTTCGCGCTGGACGAGCCGCCGTGGGTGCCCGACAAGGAGGCGAGGACATCCGCCGGCCCGCTCCCCTTCCCCTCCTCAGACAACCCCATCCTGTCTCTCTCTCTTTACCGCCGCCACTCCGCTATTACATTCCCCAGCGCGCATAGGCCGCGCTCGCACGCGATTGGGCCGAGCCACGCCGCGCGCGCGACCCCTTGGCCAATGGGAGAGGCCGGCGCGGCGACGCGCGCTGCCTATCCGCGCTGGGGAATGTAGAGCGCCTTGTGTCTGGGGCTGTGGGTTTTTTTTGGGGGGTGGGGGGGGGTTCGCTGATGAGGCACCGAACGTCGAAACCGCACCCCGTGCTTGTGTTGCTTTGTGTTGTTGTTGCTTGTGTTGTTGTTGCTGCTTGTGTTGTTGCTTGTGTTGTTTGTGTTGTTGTTGCTGCTTGTGTTGCTGCTTGTGTTGTTGCTTGTGTTGTTGTTGCTTGTGTTGTTGTTGCTGCTTGTGTTGTTGTTGCTGCTTGTGTTGTTGCTTGTGTTGTTTGTGTTGTTGTTGCTGCTTGTGTTGTTGTTTGTGTTGTTGCTGCTTGTGTTGTTGATGCTGCTTGTGTTGTTGCTGCTGCTTGTGTTGTTGCTTGTGTTGTTGCTTGTGTTGTTTGTGTTGTTGTTGCTGCTTGTGTTGTTTGTGTTGTTGCTGCTTGTGTTGCTGCTGCTTGTGTTGTTGCTGCTGCTTGTGTTGTTGCTGCTGCTTGTGTTGTTTGTGTTGTTGCTGCTTGTGTTGTTTGAGTTGTTGCTGCTTGTGGTGTTGTTTGTGTTGTTGCTGCTTGTGTTGCTGCTTGTGTTGTTGCTGCTTGTGTTGTTGTTGCTTGTGTTGGACCAATTCTCGTGGCCAATGACCCCCCCCCCCTCCCCACCAAAAAGGCGTGTGCCTGACGATGGGATGTGTAAAACAAATACTTGTTTTTGTGCGTGGGTAAGGGAAGCCAATTTCGATGACACTGCAGTGCTGTCGTCTCCACGGCAATGCTGGCGATCGCGTCCGTGTGCACCTAGCCTGGCACAGGCGCCCTGGCGACGTCCCCATGGTTGTTTTGGTGGAGGGGGAGGCGTGGGTTCGTAGGATTCCCCGAGGGTGAGGGGTGGTGGTGTTGTGCAAGCTCCCTGTCCTCATCCGACCCCACGTCCTTGGCTCGCAGTTGACACTGCGTTGGTAGTGAGCGGTGCGCACTCGCAAACAATGTGAAACTCGACGGACATTTGACAATAACACGGGGTCAAGGGGCTTCCTCGCCGCAGAGACGAGGGCCAATTGGTGACACTTTGGGTAATGATCGTCCGTAGCAAACAAAGGGCCAGTTCCCGAAACGTCGTCTATTATACATGTGTTTTCCTTCAAGGCCAGTGTTATTGACGTACGTGTGTTTGTGAGGCGCATGTTTTTCCAAGTCCCGCCAGTTTCTGCCAAAAGACCTGGAAAAACAAGTGCTTAGATGTGTTTGCCTGCTACTATAAATTCCCACAAGTCACGATATAAGCCACCTCGATCAGCTATTATGTGTGGCCAGGTCGCCTCTGGAAAAATAGCGAATAGCTCGGTGGGCGTTCCCTGATAAAAAAAATTGTTCACTTTGTTATTTGGCTAAGGTCCCCTGAGCCTATGGCCTCGCCTCACCGAAACCCGACCTGCACATGAACTCGCTGGACCTGAGCGCCAAATAACAATAAATTGCTGTGGACCTGACTACCCGAGTTTAATCATCGCCCGCTATTGGCAGAATAATACCCGCCTGCAGGCCAGATGCTGCGTCGCATTGTGCCGTGTAGGGACAGCTGCCACTGGGGGTGTTATTTAAAATGTATGAGGTGCGGTGTAAAAGTCTCTTCTCGCGTGTACAGCGCTCCCGAGACGTCCCCGGCGTAAAGGAGGGTGGCCCTATCAAACTCAAATCATTGTTACATCACAGGACCATGAGGAATGCCGCCGGCTTGCGGGAGGCCTTCATCCAGCAGTGGATAGGTCACAGCTGACGTTGATATCTCTTGTCTCCCCACAGTGCACGCGCTGCATGCTGTGCGAGGCCAAGTTCGACTTTCTCACGCGCAAGGTAATTATTCACAACCCCACGGCCCAATTGGTTCATCTCAACACGAGCTCTGCATGCGAGTGTGCATGTGAAAGTGTACGCTACTGTTGGTCAATCCACTGCAGGATGCGAGGCTTTCCCACACCCAGCGGGCTGTGGATACACTGTGTAAACATCAGTGCAGCAGAGAAAAAAGGCGGCCCAGGGTGGTGCTGGCCACACCACCCCTTTGTGCACTGTGCCAGCCTTCAGTGCTCGCTAACAGCTCGTACACCAGCAGTCTATGAAGGCTATACGACTGGATATCTTGCTAATGCTTGACAACTAACGTTGAAAGCCTTTACATATTCTGTATATCCGACTGTAACGGAGGGTGGCACTATAATACATTACGTTGAGCCAATATTTACAAAACTTTAGTAGAAGCTTTAGTAGAAAGTTTTTGGCAATTTGGGACATAACCCTAGAGAAACCCAGCCATATTGATAAAAGTGTTGCCTTTTCCCTCTGAGAAATACCACTGAGCCCCGTGGTCTCATCGCGACTTACGGACATGCTGCTTCTTAACACGCACTGCGCGAGCCCAACCATTCTCGCAAATTAAATCCTCCAGTGGACAAATGCGAATTTCAAGCGTATGCGTGATTTGGCTTTCTTGTCCTGTTGTCTTGACCCGCGTGTTGCCTCGCATCCCGACACGAATCCCGTCCCTCGTGCGCCGCTCATCAGCACCACTGCCGGCGCTGCGGCCGCTGCTTCTGCGACCGATGCTGCGGGCGCAAGGCGCCGCTGCCGCGCATGTCCTTCGTGGACCCCGTGCGGCAGTGTGGCACCTGTGCCGGGCTCTCCCAGCGCGAGGGCGACTTCTACGAGCGCCACCTGAAGGTCCTGCTCGCCGGTGAGCGATGGCGATGCTGCCAAATATTGCCTAACCCTGGGACGAGCGGTAGAATGATCTCGAATGAGCAAATGAGACGATGTGCAAGACACGTGATACATACTACGAGACAGGACAACTTAGATTTGACCCAGCGTCCTTCCCTGCCTTAACAACATTTGTGTGTGTGAGATTGATGGCAGTGGTGCACAAGCATAAATAATAAAGACTGGACACCTGTGTAGATAACACTGCCGGAAAAGAGAAAAAAAAATCTATAGAAAATAGACAACGTTTTGGGCAATGACCCTGATTGAGCCGAACAACATTTCCGCAGCCTTGTTTAAAATTTGCACTTCAACTTTATTCACCCGTGGTCTCATCGCGGCTTATAAGTTGTCCCTCCTTCCACTCCCATACCTGTCAACCCATACAGTTTACCCACACTCTTCTACAGGGAAATTCAGTTTTCAGGTCCAAATGGCGTACAGCCATTTCAATATAGGCAATTGTTTTTGTCTTAGTTTGTGTTTCTCCCTTGCGATGGGACTTTATAGGATGAATGTTGAGATTTATAAGGGCAGGGGTGACGAATAGGGTCTGAATTGGTCTGTAATAAGGTAGGTACTGATAAGGGGTTCACAGGTATGCGACTCCCTTGTGACTCGACGATGCTCACTGCCACTTCTCTCCCTTTTCCATGCTGGTGTCAACCCTGGTGTGTTTGTGGCTTGTGTTTGTGGCTTGCGCTTGTGGCTGCAGGAACCACGTTTATGGTGTCGGTTGAAAAGCCAAACTCGACCAGCCTGACCATGAACTGCCGCCTCTCCAACGACCACAGGTGGGATTTGCACCCACGCACCTGTTAACCCGCTCACCGACTCACCCCTTCACCTGCTCACCCATGCACATTGCATGGATCTCTGCATGCCTACCCTATTCATGTACAGTTCCTTGAGATGCATTTAGATGCTATATTAACCACGTATATAGAAACCCATACTCACTAAACAGACAAATGGACTGCACATAGTGGCCGACTCACTTTGAGACCCATACACTCACAGAGACCTACAACTGCCTTACTGTACAATATGAATATGCCCATTGTTTCTGTATAATGTCCAGAGATGCAGCCGCATTTATGGACGCTGTGTTATATAAATCTGCATTGGGCTGTGTTTTTAGTAGTTGCGTTTGTGGTCTCGGTGTCGGAGTGCTAACTGGGTGAGGTTGGTCGCTCTGCTGGGCAGACACGTGTTTCTGGATGGAGACGGGGAGCACTTTGCAGTGGAGGTGTGCCGGATCGCTGGGGTGGAGGGCCACACCGAGCCCGGCTCGCCGGACGGTAACATCCCCGTCATCGCCGCTGACAGCTCCCTTCACTTCACATCTTCACTTCTTCACTCTGCTAATCCGCGTCTTCACTGTGCCAGCCCTCTTCGTCATCATTATCATAATCAATCACGTGCAAACATATGCAGGCAGTCCTCGAGATACGAACGCCCGACTTACGAACATCCGCACTTACAAATGAACCACCATAAGATGTTATTATTTTTGACCTTCCAGCTTGCGAATATTCAGTCGTACTTACAAACTGAACCACGGAACTATTTTGTTCGGCGTAGCGATCCTCCGCGACATTATACATCCCGCGTGACAAGCCAGCATCAGAACTCAAAGTGAAAATAAGAATAATTTTTTTTCTTTGCATGTTACTTAATTTTATGTTTCATTTTATTTACTATACAGTATTTATTACATGCAAATATACAATATTTATTCTTATTTATAAGTTTAACAATGCTTCCCTTTTTTGTTGAATCCTAAGGCATTTTATAACACTATGTATAATAAAATATTGAGATACGAACAAATAGACTTACGAATGGCCTACATACATTGACCACGATCTCCCGTGTAGCCCACATACTCTGTGGACAACAACTGTTTACGAGCATCTACAATAGGTGCTCAAATTTACATACCCTATGCATACACAAATGTAGAAATACCTATACACATATATAATCAGCCTTGATCTATCTGCTGTTGAATGAAGGCTTTCCCAGAGATCCCAGTTATGACCTTTGTTTTGCATGGTAGAGAATAATGTTCGCCACAGGACAAGTCACATCGATATTTTTAATTCCAGGAACCCGAATTTTCCAAATTAAGTGCTCGATTAAATTCAATATAACAGGTTTTCTATTTAACGTGTGTGAAGTGATTGGTGACTGGTCAGAGACTATCAACTAACTACACTTGAGAACCCGGTTTAACCATCACTGGGTGAAACCCAGATTCGAACCCAGGTTCTCGGTGGTGCCAGCTCAATGCCGTGCAACCTCCGAGCCGGCCGGCCTCTTCACGCGGGCACATGCACTATTAACAGCGTGCTGTCCCCCATGGCACTCAAATCTTACCCCTGCCCAAAGCCTCCGTGTGTCTCATTATCGCCGCTTGTCGGGCTCGATGATGAAGCACCAGGAGCTTCGTGCAAGGTCACGCAGCAGCAATCCCCTCCCTAACGAGGTCTATTAGGGGTAATGGGGGCCGATGTGGAGAGGTGGTGTTAGCCAGCACCTCCAGGAACCTGTACGGAGCAGGACGAGGTGTGGGGTTCATTACTGTGACTGATGGGCGAGTAACGATTGGTTCTTCCCTTTCATCATCTTAGTGATCGTCAGCCGTCATCAATCCACTGCTGGGTGAGGGCTCCCCCAAGCCGTCGCCATCCCTCAGCATTATTATTCATCACTATACGTACACTTGTTCGTCACAGGAGGGTCCTGCCAAGTTTTCGCAGTGAGGGGCGATATTGCTGTTGTATGTGATCCCAATTGAGTAATTTGCAGGTATTTTTTCAGCATTGGGATGTATGGCAAGTAACATTCACATTATTTGTATGTAATACACCTAGCACATGCACATCAGCCGATTTCATTACTCTGTCTCCCTGGTGGATGTCCTCTTGGATGTGTTTCCACCCCTGGCTGCCACTCGGCCTCGTTGGACAGGTCCTGCCCCCACGCCCATGCCCACTTCTCTTAGGCGAGCTAGACGGAATAAGCGAGACGGTGCAAATGAGACAAAACAGAATTCATTCTTAAAATGAATCGTGACCTTGAATCACGACAATTTAATCAGAATGGATGTCCACAATAAGTGGTGAATTGTGTGAATGGCAGACAAACGTGGGTTTACGTGTGTGCGTATGATGATTTTGGGTGGAGCAATAGTCTCGTGGTTATAGTACCGCACTACAAACTCAGTGATCAGAGCTCAATTACCACTCACAACCAATATCGGTGATGAATATCTGAACCAGTTCTGGGCCTCCTGTAGGTATATTCAGCCTTAAATGAGTACCTGGTGTTGTATGTAAACTTCAGCACTGGGGAGACAAAGATGGCCAGGCGTGGTTCTGGCCACACCACCGCTTCTGCATGTCTGTGTGTTTGTCTACCTGTATCTACGTGTCTGTTGTCTACCTGTATCTACGTGTCTTTGTGTTTTGTCGCCCTGTATCTTGTGCAGGCAGTGGAGGGGGGCGGCTCGTGGGCATGGCGCTGCGCTACTCGGTGCCAGGGGAGGCTGCCCTGCGCTGCCTCTCCCTGCGCGTGCCTGAGTACAGCGACGACCGCAAGCAGGCGTCGCTGTGGCTCTCCGCCATGCACAGGGTACGCGCCACGCGCACCCACGGGGGGGGGGCGGGGGCACTGCTGGTGTGTCTCAGTCAACCCCGATCATCGGAGTCTGTTCCGTGACCTCCTGCTTAAGAGTGCACCTAGCTTGGCACAAGCTCTGTGGTCACATTACCGTCACTTCTTGGCGAATTATGGTTGTTGTTGCAGTTGCTGCTGTTGTTGATAATTGGGATGGTGTTGGTGATAGATGTGGAAATGGTGATTGTGGTGGTTGTGGTGGCTGTAGCAAGATGGTGTTCGTAATGATTGTGGTTGCGATGGTAGTGATTGTGGTGGCGAGTTTGCTGACAATGTGGCGATGTTGTAGCGAGCGCGGCGTTGGCCAAGGTGCAGTACTAATGAGTGAGGTTCATCCTCGCAGTGATGGTGCTTCATTCGGGCAACGCGTCTCGTCTTTAGGCCACCAAGTTGCTGTACGAAGGCAAAGACGACGGGCAAGTTGCCGAGTGTTGAAAGATCCAGCTCTACTCACGACACTGCACTACGCCACCGCGACGCCACCACACTACACTACTTTACATTTATTCTCATAACCTTTTTGTAAGAAACAAACACTTATAATACCGAAGACTTTATATATCCTTGATTTTTTTGTAATCCGTAGGGTTAATTGCACACAGCCACCGCGTTGATTGATTGACTTTGGAGATCGCAGTATTAATTGGGCGCAGAGCCTTTTCCACTTCCCTCTCTCATACTCCTTGCGTGGTGGATGCTCTCTCCGCTCTAGAGGAACAACTGCCCTCCCCGTGCGTACGTGCAGTGCCATTTTTACAGCTGTGCGGCGGGCTCACAGCGCTTCCTTTAAGGGGACCCAAAATGATTTGTCTCTCTTGGGCATGTAACGGTTCGCCTCCCCCATCCCCCCATCCTTGCGACTCGAAGGATTATCGCAATTCGAGGGTCATGATTTGAAACCTGAGAATCGAACGACGATTTGTATTGGCACGTTGGTGATTGTAGCCGACTGCAGTGGCTGCAGAGTTTACATAAACCGATTGCATACATCACATACGAATCTGAGATAATGGATTATTGTACTCGTGATTCCATATATCTTGAGCGTAACAATCAAGGTGAATTGATGAATCGATGCGTTGTTACATGCCTAATGTTACTTCGTGCCTGCGTGTGTTTATTTGTGTATCTGTGTCTCCGTGTTTTTTTTTATGTTTCGATCGCTGATTCTTGCTCTCTTTGTTTATTGTGTCTCATTGTGTTTTTCTATTTCTGTCTCTGGGTCTAATTGTACATCTCTTGACGTCTTTGTTTCTTTGTGTTTCTCATTGTCAATCTGTGTATCTGTGCCCATTTCTGTGTGAGTTCGTGTCTCTGTGTCTGTCTCTCGGGCCCCTCTTCCCCATGTGCACCGGGCTCTGCATAGAGTTGAGACAGCGCTGTGTTCTCTCGTATATTCTGTGTCCTCATTTTTGTACCTTACTGACTGCTGGGCAGCACGCCCGCTCAGCGCCATGCGTCGCATTAAACAAAGCTATTTAATAAAACCGTTCTTTGAAGATCATTTGTGTGTTTCCCCACACCCTGATAAAGTGTATTTCAATTGAGGGCTGCCCTGAGAAATCTTCATAGCCGACACAATTTCACCGTCTACAGAGTAGTAGGCATTTGTTGAGAGTGCGGATTACGTGGCTGTAAAAAATGAATTTGGATATTAATTATCTGGCCTCTCGTCAGTGGGGAGGTGATACAATTAGCATGAAAAGTGGATCGTACAGTGTTCTAATGGTGCTTGAATGCGTTATCTTAAAATATATAACCGTGGGTTGCTAAGTGTTTCCAGGATACTATCAACTCCCTACACTTGACAGCGCAAGTGTAATTACAGGGCAGCGTGAACATGGATTTGACTTCCAGGGGTCTCAGTCGTGCTGGCTCAGTGCTCTAATCTCTCGAGCCACCCGGCCACCTTTGTGGTGTTTGACCATACTTCACACTGCTCCGTGCGGGTTGGTGAATGGGGGGTACTATCCGGGACCCATTTAGATCACTCACCACTGATGCGAACTGTGGCTGAGAATCACACTCGTGGTCATTATGGGCTCTCGGATCCCCCGATGGCCACCGATGCTCTTGAAATTTGTGCTGTGCGGTCGTGGCTGGATGGGTGTTTCCGGGTGTCCATAATGAACACGAGCGGAAGCGTTCTGATCTCGCTCCTGGGTGCTCGTTATGAGCGTGTGGCAGGGCCAGGCTCATCTGTCACCCTCGCGGCGGCTCCAACTTCAAATTGCCGTGCTCCCCGACCCGGGGCCAAACTAATGGGGGCTCGTCGTCTCCACTTAATCAAGGAGAGTGTGTTGGTTTTTAATCTCCAGAGAGGTCACCCAGCCCCTTATGACCCCCCTCACCTCGAGATAGGATTCTCCCAAGAATCCTGGATTTCAGCGTTATCCTGAATACTAGTGGTGGAAGGTGATCAGATGGAAGTATAGCACTGGATTATTTAATCCACCTGTGTCGAACTTTCGGTGTCACCAATGTGCGTGTTTTTTTTTTGTGGGTACTGGTTTAAACCTTCAACATTTCCCTAGGTATGTTTTCTAGATGTCCATCCAGCTGATATCCTCGTTTAGTGAACGTGTACGTGATTTTTCACGCATATAAACATTGAGCCCAAATATACAGCATATTAATTAAAGCCTTCACTCATTTCCTGGAATTAATTTCCATCGATTTGTATGTTAGCAGTAAATCTGAGATGATCAATACCTCTCCATTTACGTTCATGCTTTAATTTCTCCTACCACGATTTCGGAAAGCACCCAATGTTACCGCGCTATAAAATACGATGGCCGAGATGGACAATGGAGTAGCAAAGGAGGAGGGAGGTCTGCGAGAAGACAACCGCTGTCGAGACGGAGCGATGAGGTCTGCTCGCCAGAGGTGGGACAAAGTCATTGTTATGCAAGTCCAAGTCGAGTCTCAAGTCATCAAATTCATGACTCGAGTCTGACTCGAGTCCAAGTCACATGACTCGAGTCCACACCAGCTCAGAGGTGGGACAAAGTCATTGTTATGCAAGTCCAAGTCGAGTCTCAAGTCATCAAATTCATGACTCGAGTCTGACTCGAGTCCAAGTCACATGACTCGAGTCCACACCAGCTCAGAGGTGGGACAAAGTCATTGTTATGCAAGTCCAAGTCGAGTCTCAAGTCATCAAATTCATGACTCGAGTCTGACTCGAGTCCAAGTCACATGACTCGAGTCCACACCTCAGAGGTGGGACAAAGTCATTGTTATGCAAGTCCAAGTCGAGTCTCAAGTCATCAAATTCATGACTCGAGTCTGACTCGAGTCCAAGTCACATGACTCGAGTCCACACCAGCTCAGAGGTGGGACAAAGTCATTGTTATGCAAGTCCAAGTCGAGTCTCAAGTCATCAAATTCATGACTCGAGTCTGACTCGAGTCCAAGTCACATGACTCGAGTCCACAGCTCAGAGGTGGGACAAAGTCATTGTTATGCAAGTCCAAGTCGAGTCTCAAGTCATCAAATTCATGACTCGAGTCTGACTCGAGTCCAAGTCACATGACTCGAGTCCACACCAGCTCAGAGGTGGGACAAAGTCATTGTTATGCAAGTCCAAGTCGAGTCTCAAGTCATCAAATTCATGACTCGAGTCTGACTCGAGTCCAAGTCACATGACTCGAGTCCACACCAGCTCAGAGGTGGGACAAAGTCATTGTTATGCAAGTCCAAGTCGAGTCTCAAGTCATCAAATTCATGACTCGAGTCTGACTCGAGTCCAAGTCACATGACTCGAGTCCACACCAGCTCAGAGGTGGGACAAAGTCATTGTTATGCAAGTCCAAGTCGAGTCTCAAGTCATCAAATTCATGACTCGAGTCTGACTCGAGTCCAAGTCACATGACTCGAGTCCACACCACCTCAGAGGTGGGACAAAGTCATTGTTATGCAAGTCCAAGTCGAGTCTCAAGTCATCAAATTCATGACTCGAGTCTGACTCGAGTCCAAGTCACATGACTCGAGTCCACACCTCAGAGGTGGGACAAAGTCATTGTTATGCAAGTCCAAGTCGAGTCTCAAGTCATCAAATTCATGACTCGAGTCTGACTCGAGTCCAAGTCACATGACTCGAGTCCACACCTCAGAGGTGGGACAAAGTCATTGTTATGCAAGTCCAAGTCGAGTCTCAAGTCATCAAATTCATGACTCGAGTCTGACTCGAGTCCAAGTCACATGACTCGAGTCCACACCAGCTCAGAGGTGGGACAAAGTCATTGTTATGCAAGTCCAAGTCGAGTCTCAAGTCATCAAATTCATGACTCGAGTCTGACTCGAGTCCAAGTCACATGACTCGAGTCCACACCAGCTCAGAGGTGGGACAAAGTCATTGTTATGCAAGTCCAAGTCGAGTCTCAAGTCATCAAATTCATGACTCGAGTCTGACTCGAGTCCAAGTCACATGACTCGAGTCCACACCAGCTCAGAGGTGGGACAAAGTCATTGTTATGCAAGTCCAAGTCGAGTCTCAAGTCATCAAATTCATGACTCGAGTCTGACTCGAGTCCAAGTCACATGACTCGAGTCCACACCACCTCAGAGGTGGGACAAAGTCATTGTTATGCAAGTCCAAGTCGAGTCTCAAGTCATCAAATTCATGACTCGAGTCTGACTCGAGTCCAAGTCACATGACTCGAGTCCACACCTCAGAGGTGGGACAAAGTCATTGTTATGCAAGTCCAAGTCGAGTCTCAAGTCATCAAATTCATGACTCGAGTCTGACTCGAGTCCAAGTCACATGACTCGAGTCCCACCACCTCAGAGGTGGGACAAAGTCATTGTTATGCAAGTCCAAGTCGAGTCTCAAGTCATCAAATTCATGACTCGAGTCTGACTCGAGTCCAAGTCACATGACTCGAGTCCACACCTCAGAGGTGGGACAAAGTCATTGTTATGCAAGTCCAAGTCGAGTCTCAAGTCATCAAATTCATGACTCGAGTCTGACTCGAGTCCAAGTCACATGACTCGAGTCCACACCTCAGAGGTGGGACAAAGTCATTGTTATGCAAGTCCAAGTCGAGTCTCAAGTCATCAAATTCATGACTCGAGTCTGACTCGAGTCCAAGTCACATGACTCGAGTCCACACCAGCTCAGAGGTGGGACAAAGTCATTGTTATGCAAGTCCAAGTCGAGTCTCAAGTCATCAAATTCATGACTCGAGTCTGACTCGAGTCCAAGTCACATGACTCGAGTCCACACCAGCTCAGAGGTGGGACAAAGTCATTGTTATGCAAGTCCAAGTCGAGTCTCAAGTCATCAAATTCATGACTCGAGTCTGACTCGAGTCCAAGTCACATGACTCGAGTCCACACCACCTCAGAGGTGGGACAAAGTCATTGTTATGCAAGTCCAAGTCGAGTCTCAAGTCATCAAATTCATGACTCGAGTCTGACTCGAGTCCAAGTCACATGACTCGAGTCCACACCTCAGAGGTGGGACAAAGTCATTGTTATGCAAGTCCAAGTCGAGTCTCAAGTCATCAAATTCATGACTCGAGTCTGACTCGAGTCCAAGTCACATGACTCGAGTCCACACCTCAGAGGTGGGACAAAGTCATTGTTATGCAAGTCCAAGTCGAGTCTCAAGTCATCAAATTCATGACTCGAGTCTGACTCGAGTCCAAGTCACATGACTCGAGTCCACACCAGCTCAGAGGTGGGACAAAGTCATTGTTATGCAAGTCCAAGTCGAGTCTCAAGTCATCAAATTCATGACTCGAGTCTGACTCGAGTCCAAGTCACATGACTCGAGTCCACACCAGCTCAGAGGTGGGACAAAGTCATTGTTATGCAAGTCCAAGTCGAGTCTCAAGTCATCAAATTCATGACTCGAGTCTGACTCGAGTCCAAGTCACATGACTCGAGTCCACAGCTCAGAGGTGGGACAAAGTCATTGTTATGCAAGTCCAAGTCGAGTCTCAAGTCATCAAATTCATGACTCGAGTCTGACTCGAGTCCAAGTCACATGACTCGAGTCCACACCAGCTCAGAGGTGGGACAAAGTCATTGTTATGCAAGTCCAAGTCGAGTCTCAAGTCATCAAATTCATGACTCGAGTCTGACTCGAGTCCAAGTCACATGACTCGAGTCCACACCAGCTCAGAGGTGGGACAAAGTCATTGTTATGCAAGTCCAAGTCGAGTCTCAAGTCATCAAATTCATGACTCGAGTCTGACTCGAGTCCAAGTCACATGACTCGAGTCCACACCAGCTCAGAGGTGGGACAAAGTCATTGTTATGCAAGTCCAAGTCGAGTCTCAAGTCATCAAATTCATGACTCGAGTCTGACTCGAGTCCAAGTCACATGACTCGAGTCCACACCACCTCAGAGGTGGGACAAAGTCATTGTTATGCAAGTCCAAGTCGAGTCTCAAGTCATCAAATTCATGACTCGAGTCTGACTCGAGTCCAAGTCACATGACTCGAGTCCACACCTCAGAGGTGGGACAAAGTCATTGTTATGCAAGTCCAAGTCGAGTCTCAAGTCATCAAATTCATGACTCGAGTCTGACTCGAGTCCAAGTCACATGACTCGAGTCCACACCTCAGAGGTGGGACAAAGTCATTGTTATGCAAGTCCAAGTCGAGTCTCAAGTCATCAAATTCATGACTCGAGTCTGACTCGAGTCCAAGTCACATGACTCGAGTCCACACCACCTCAGAGGTGGGACAAAGTCATTGTTATGCAAGTCCAAGTCGAGTCTCAAGTCATCAAATTCATGACTCGAGTCTGACTCGAGTCCAAGTCACATGACTCGAGTCCACACCTCAGAGGTGGGACAAAGTCATTGTTATGCAAGTTCAAGTCGAGTCTCAAGTCATCAAATTCATGACTCGAGTCTGACTCGAGTCCAAGTCACATGACTCGAGTCCACACCTCAGAGGTGGGACAAAGTCATTGTTATGCAAGTCCAAGTCGAGTCTCAAGTCATCAAATTCATGACTCGAGTCTGACTCGAGTCCAAGTCACATGACTCGAGTCCACACCTCAGAGGTGGGACAAAGTCATTGTTATGCAAGTCCAAGTCGAGTCTCAAGTCATCAAATTCATGACTCGAGTCTGACTCGAGTCCAAGTCACATGACTCGAGTCCACACCAGCTCAGAGGTGGGACAAAGTCATTGTTATGCAAGTCCAAGTCGAGTCTCAAGTCATCAAATTCATGACTCGAGTCTGACTCGAGTCCAAGTCACATGACTCGAGTCCACACCAGCTCAGAGGTGGGACAAAGTCATTGTTATGCAAGTCCAAGTCGAGTCTCAAGTCATCAAATTCATGACTCGAGTCTGACTCGAGTCCAAGTCACATGACTCGAGTCCACACCAGCTCAGAGGTGGGACAAAGTCATTGTTATGCAAGTCCAAGTCGAGTCTCAAGTCATCAAATTCATGACTCGAGTCTGACTCGAGTCCAAGTCACATGACTCGAGTCCACACCTCTGCTGCTCGCACACAACAGGAACGGATTGTTGCATGGTGAGGCCGTGGGAGATGGCTGATGGCTTAGCCTTCGTCCAGAAGTAACGATGCCTCTGCTTCCACACACCACACTGGAACTTACAAAACAACCGGTGACAGAAGCATCCTGAAAAAAACTTCTCAAGACTCGTCCAAGCTCTAGAAACCGTTTGTTGTTGTTATTATTTTGCCAGTTGTATGGGTCCGTGGAAAATTAGAACCATCGTAGTTTTATTTAGAAGAGTATGGGACCACAAAATGTATTAACTGTATTTAATCTTGATATGGCATTTACACAGGTGGTGGCTTATCACAATTCATTGTCTTGGGCAGGGGTTGATTTATCATGAAATATTTTGCACAGTCCGCCAACCACCCGTGACAACAGCCATGGTGGGGTCATCTATTCCGGAGATCTGCCTCGGACGGCTTCGGCAATTGGAAATATGGATGCCGATGAAAGTGATACTTCAATCTTGATTTTGATAGTTATTTTACATATTCTTAGGTTTTTTTTCGGTAAAGTCACGTAGGTAAAACATCAAAATTAGTACTAATTTTGATGTTTTACCTACGTGACTTTACCGAAAAAACCTAAGAATATGAATCCTTGCAGTCACGAAAGCTTCAAATCTACAAGTTATTTTACAATTTAGAATTTGCAGATCGGCAAAGATGGACTTACACCTCTCGCGAGAAAACCCCGTGTAAACACATGCGTCTATTATTTGTGGCCAATGTAGCTTCTATCTCAGTCGGCTTTACATGGTAAAATAAAAATAATTTATATTATCTGAGCAGGGACACAGTGCTGTGTGTGAACTTAAACTTTCAAGACCTCAAGCCACGCGGTTCGCCTCGACCCCCCCCCCCCCCACTTAACTTAACCACGCCCATCGGCCCACCCCTCAAAACATCTCCCCCCCCCACCTCCGTCTTGACCAATGGGCATCGTCGCGAGGCTCAGCAGCGGACTCCCTGATTGGCGAGTGGAAATGAAGGTGCGGTGACGTCAGGACGCGGCCTCGCCTATAAAAGGCGACCCGCCGCCGCGGAAATGGCGGCAGAATAATTCCCCATCGCCGAAGGTGATGACCGCCTCGCAACTTTCACAACTGACAACTTAACAACCCATAAGCCACCAAACCACCTAACTACTCTGATAAACACCACCAGAGGCACTTGCATGCAACGCGAGTCACACTCATGCCCAGTCGGCGGCGGTGCCACGGCGCAGCGTTCGTACAAGAATAGAGAGCTCTCATTCAGTTCCGTGGGCTCCGGGGTGTCATGGCAACGTGGGGGGAGGGGTGGGGGCTGTGGGGGTGTCATGGCAACGCGGGGGGGGGGGGGCTGTGGGGGGTGCCACGAGGCCTGTGGCCCGGCTCGGTTCGGATCTGGCGTCGATTTGGTTCTGAAAAAAGTCATCGAGTCTCTCGCGAACCGGGTCAGGGTGCAGATCAGACCGGGATTATTGTGGTTGTTGTGGGGTTTTTAAAGTTCGGAAACGAACGGGGCCAAGTCTCTTAATTAAATCTGGCTCTGTTGCTGGTTCGTCGTCTCGTTCTGTTCAGAACCGAATTTTGTTTCAAGGATCGAATTGGCGAACTGGGACTGTTGTGATCCAAGTACCAATCTGGATGGAATGTGGGACCCCCCCCCCCCCCACGTTCGTTGCTAGCACCGTAGATGACCCCCCCTCACCTCACTCCCCGTGAACCCCCGAGATTACGACGCGACCCAGGGACCAAAGACTGAGAACCGGGGGCCCAGAACTGCGGCTTAGGGGACCAAGAGACCCCGTCGAGAGAGAGAGAGAAGTGGTGGGGTGGGGGGTAGAGAGAAAGCGCGGGGAGAGACAAAAGAAGCTCGCGGGCACAAAAGCGAAGCAGCAGCAGCGGCGGCAGGAGGAGGGGTAAAGGAAGAGGAGGAGGAAGAGAAGTGAAGGAGGAGGAGCTCGGGGTAGAGGTTTGCGATTGAACCGAGTGGTAGTGGTGGTGGAGGGGGTGGGTGAAGGTGCAGACAGCAGCCGCCACTACCACAGCCGCCACTACCACAGCAGCCTCAGCCGCCTCGTCCCTGCCAGGCGAGGGAGACCGGGGAACCCCAAGCCAGGGGCACACGGAGAAGACGGACGACCCCGGGCCCCCTTCTGGACGCCTCCTCGTGGCCGCCAGGGCAAAGATTACTGCGGCGACCCCGGGAGCGAGGGCCTGGCCGCATCGTCCCCTCCACCACCACCACGTCCACCACGTCCACCACCACCACCTGGGCCACCACCACCCGGGTCATCCCCTCGCCACCCGCCTCCGCCATGAGGCTACCGGGCGCCCTGTTGCTGCTGCTGCTCTGCGTCCTGGCCGGAGCCCACGCGGGTGAGTCCCTCTTTGTCTATCCCCACGGACCCCCCTCCCCTCTCCTCCTTGTGGCGATTTGGGGGTCCCCTCGGCGTCCCCTTGGGGGTTCTGTGAGTCGTCTTGCGGTTCCTCGTGAAGCTCTCGTGTTTGTGTCCGCTTTGGATATCCTGCGGGGTCCCATCGGGGTCCCGTAGGGGTCCCATCGGGGTCTCATTGGGGTCCCGTAGGGGTCCCCACCCCCTTGTTGTTGTGTCCACGGACCCCTCGTGTCCCCTCGTCCCTTCAATCTCCCCCCTTCCCCGGCACTGGCGCGGGTCACCGGCATTGTTCCCACAAAGTTGTATCAAAGTTCCTCTAAAGTTGCCACGAGTTCACGAGTATCTCTCTCCCTGGGTATCCCCCTGAGCCACGGATTGTCCCCCTTCGCCAGCATCGTAGAGGGGTTCCACGGTGCGTTCTCGCTCTCTCTGAGGTCCCCTTGAATGGGGTTGAGGTCCCCATGAAGGGGTTAAGAGTTCCCAGGGAACCCGGGTCCCCCACCACCCCTACACGTGGGGGGTCTGTACAGTGCTCGATTGTGAATGGTGAATGGTGTTGGTGATGATTGTCGTGGTGTTGTTGTTACCAGTCTCACCGTGAGCCTTGCTTAAAAGTGTAGATGACAAAGATGATGGTGGTGGTGGTTGCGTGATGGCGCTTGATGATCACGGTGGCTGATGTCGGTGATGTGAATGATGATGTGGTCGTGGTCCACTCATCTCGCATCTCGCCACAGATCTCTCACCTCGATAATAATTTTTTTAGCCGGTGATGATGGTGGTAATCATGATGGTGATTATAATGGTGATGGTTACGATGAAGGTGATGATGGTGGTAATCATGATGGTGATTATAATGGTGATGGTTACAATGAAGGTGATGATGGTGGTAATCATGATGGTGATTATAATGGTGATGGTTACGATGAAGGTGATGATGGTGGTAATCATGATGGTGATTATAATGGTGATGGTTACAATGAAGGTGATGATGGTGGTAATCATGATGGTGATTATAATGGTGATGGTTACGATGAAGGTGATGATAGTGGTTATCATGATGGTGATTATAATGGTGATGGTTACAATGAAGGTGATGATGATGGTAATCATGACGGTGATTATAATGGTGATGGTTACAATGAAGGGGATGATGATGGTAATCATGATGGTGATTATAATGGTGATGGTTACGATGAAGATGATGATGATAGTGTTAATGAACGTGGCAGCGAAGTTGCATTCGCATTTAATATTAGCAATGGTATAGTGGTGGAGAGATAGCAGTGCTGCCACAGATAATTAAAATGTTGATGATGATGTAGTTTCAATCTCGCCTGAGTTAGGACCAGAGGTCGCAAACGGGTTTTGATTCCTTACCCGTACCCGGCCGCACAAGGGTCGCATACGGGTACCCGTACCCGGCCGTACCCGTACCCTACCCGTACCCGGCCGGGTACGGGTAGGGTACGGGTACCCGATTGCGACCTCTGGGATGAAGCCATGTTGCAGGCGCGGGTGGGTTGATTCTAGAAACTTGAATTGTGAGAAGAGACAAGACGTTGGGAATTGAGTGACAAACAGTTACTCACCAGTGACTCACGGCCTACCCGTACCCGGCCGCACCAGGGTCGCAAACGGGTACCCGTACCCGGCCGGGTACGGGTATCGGGTTAGCTGGTTGCGACCTCTGGTTAGGACTTTACACGATGGTGGTGACTGCGTAATTGATTGTACAGTAGCTCTGTTTTAATATCTTCGGTCTCTTTTACACTGTGCTGGTGTCACTTACTTGACCCTGGGGCACCAATGATGTTCTTATCTGCTGAAATGTTTACGATGTTGCTGCCGATAATGATACTTTAATGATGACGGTGGAAAGCATTTCCATCTCAGCTAAAATTTTCTTGGGTGGTTTTCACACCTTATGATGATTGCTTGTGTTGCAATCGAAACGTCGTGAGAATTTGTATTCTGTTTTATTTTTATTATTTTATTATTTCCCTTCTACGTGACTTTACCGAAAGAACCAAGAATATACATTTCCAAGCACTTACAGTGTTTTGGTTGCTATAGTGGGCAGCTCTTTGTGTGTGCAGAGAGTGTAAATTCCTGTTAAACTTTCATCATCATCATTGCCCCTCCGGTTAGCGCGGTTGGACACGTACGGTGCAGAAGAAATTCAACATACATCATCAAACATTTGTATATTTTTAGTTACAAAATTATTCCACCGGGAAAATCCCTCGAAGGAAGATTCGGTTTCGTTTGCACGGGTGTCCCATGGTCAATCCACTGCTGGATGAAGGCCTCCCTCAAGCCTCCATCATCTCACGCTCCTGTTGCGTAATAATCAACCCAGAATGGGAGCCGAATTCATCGCTCCATCTCCCCTAGCTGGACGTCCTTCGACGTTTACTTGGGCGAAACTTTCGTTTGGTTTTCTTACACCAAGGCCAGCGATAAGCGAGATAGAGATGTTCAATTCAGGTGTCATGTACAAGCAGTAATGGACACTCCGGCATGGAGGAGGTGAAGGGACCCTGTGTGTGTGTAGGATCTCGGGGTTACAGGCAGCCCCGTGACCCCCTTTTGTATCCCCCCCCCACACCCCCGCTTCTGACCCCTCTGTGTAGGACCATGAGAGAAGCCTTTGTCAAACATGGCAGAGGTGTAACCATCCACCCCTCGCTCTCCCCTCCCCCAACGATTCGATGAATGGTGCGCGATTCAATTCAAAGGTGTAACTATTTGAACGTTGTGGGGAACTCAGCGGCAACCGGTGGCTGCAAAGGAGGTGGTCACCCCGTTTGGTGAAGTACACAACGCGATGTACGTCCAACTCTTCCGAGACGCTTTGGCTAGAGGTGGAAGACCAGGCCTAAATGTCCTCGAGATATGGGGCTCCCTCGAGTCTCCCGAGTGGGGAAAGCCACTTTGGCCAGCGGTCGTGTGAACAAGCAATTAGTTGCAGGGCACCACTTTCACCATCATTTCTACATAGCGTGTATATAAGCGCCGGGATTCTGTGTGTAAGCACAATATTTAACTTTGTTCAGCCTGCTATATATAGGTTTATGGTACCGAGCAGAGGTCTGCTTGGGTCCGCGTGTCTGCTTTTATACAACGCCCTGAGTGGAATGCTCTTTGTCGTTTGTCATTTAAAGATGACGGACTGTCTTATGGAGTGTCTTTATTTGCACTCCCGCACTATACACTGTACTGGGCTGGTGGCGCCACCGGTTATAGCGCCACGAACCCGGCGAGCCCGAGTTTGAATCCCGGCCACGGCTGACATCAGTGGTGGTCCTGGGCTCGCTCCCACGCAACCCCTTTCACCGACCCCCACTGACCAGCGTGGTGAAGTATGATCAAACAACTCCCTGCATCACCGACATGGCACCGGGAGGCGCCTCATCTAGCAGTGACCCGAACTACTGCAACTTCGAAAAGCTTTGGTGTCACACTGCATGGGAGGTGTGGATCACTTGGTTCACTGATGGAGGCCGTGCATTTGTCAGCGTTTGGCGCAGTTCTCAAAGCAAATGTAGAAATCTGTGCTGAGCCAGTCCTATGACTGATATCAATCGGCCTCTGGGCTATAATTTTTGGTGGCCTATATATTACATTTTCTAGTTTTCATACATTTATGCATGAAAGGATTCGTCATGGAACAATATTTTAAATCGCTGATAACATCCATTATTATGCTCATGGCACAGTCCTTCAATCGCGTGCTTTTTCATGCTTATAAAATTGGAACAGTGTTTGACATTTGCAGACAAAAGCGCCCCACATACTTAAAAGCATGTTAGCAGAACTCTGTTCTGTCTCCACATATAAATAATAAATACTATTATTCCATTGGCCTGTTAGCGTTCCCAGTATCCAGCAGCATTTGTTGAAGTGTGCAAATCCTCTAATGTTGTAGACCTTTTTGGTCTAGTCAGAAGTCATGTTAATCAAACATGCGACTGGGTTCGCAGATAGGATGATTTTTTTTATTTTGACTGTGAGCTTGCCACATTCGTGGAACTTCCCATCGGTCACTTGTCAGTCACAATCGCACAAGTGGGGTCACTTCTGGAGGACTCGTGGGCAAGGTACGGGGGGGGGTTGCCCTGGGGGGGGTGAGGTGCTTCCTCGGTAATCGCCGCCGGTGTCTGGGTGGCTGGTGGCCATGTGGCGCCGCCCCGGGGTTTTGAGGCCGAAGAGGCCGACCCTGCCCCAGAATCCTGCGGCCGATCTGGTAAAGCCCTCAAGTGCAATTTTCCACTTAGCTTGTCTCTAAACGATGCATGTGACTGACTGTCTCTTAACGCTGTGTGACTGGCTGTCTTCTAACAATGTGAGACTCACTCTTAATGCTGTGTGCGACCAACTGTCTCTCAAATACATGTGTGTCCGACTGTCTTCATCGTTGTGTGTCCGGCTGTCTCCTTGTACAACGTCTTCATTCGCATTTTTCACTCTGCTGCTGTCTCCTTTCTAAGCCCGTAACTGCTCGCGCCCCTTGCGGTTCGACGGACTGTCGAGGCGGTCTGGTTTGGCGTTTCGATTCGAATCAATTCTCGTTGTGCCGCCGCGGTGCTTGCGAAACACGAGCAGAGACCCCCGTGGCGCATGCCCGGCCCGCAACTTCATGTCATGCGCGGCCACATGTGGCCCACCACTTCATAACGGCAGCACCCGTGAGATTTAGCTGGCACTGTAGGCGTCTTAACCGCACTCAATGGGTTGTAGAGGAGGGAATGTTTTTCACATGGCAACAACCCACGGTTTGTAATTGTAACAGCGCGTGCTCAGACACTCCAGTCACGGCGAGGGCTTCCTGCAGTGGCAGACGAGACCGAGGTGTGTGCGTGTGAATGTTTTGTTGCTGCCAAAGGTATTTGGAAGTCTTGTTCGCCCCTCGGTAAGGGAAAGGAATTCACGCCCCTGCTTGAATGATCTCTATTGGCTTGCAGGGTTTACGTCAGA